GCTGGGGCCTGTGCCTTGTGGAGGTCTATGTCCATGTCAATTTCCTCATCAATCTCGTCGCTGTGCTGCAATTGCCTCCTCGGCTGGTCCTGGTTTTGCTTTGGCATGTCCTGGCTCTGCATATACTCCAGGACAATGCGCGTGGTGTTCATAGTGCTCAGAATTGCCGCAGTGATCTGAGCGGGTCCATGATCCCAGTGCTATGGCGTCTGGTCTGAAAAAAGGCGCGAAACTAGTATCTGACGGAGGGAGGGAGGGGCGAGTGATGACATGGCTTACAGGTACAGGGAATTAAAATCAACAAAGGTGGCTGTGCATCAGGGAGAAACACATACAACTGTCACACAGAATGGCCCCCCCCAAAGATTGAACTCAAAACCCTGGGTTTAGCAGGCCATTGATTTCACGGAGAGAGGGGGAAGCAAATGAATACAGAACAAATCTATTTTTACATCTTAAGCTGGCAGACGACGGTGCAGCATGACTGATAGCCCTCGGCATCTTTTTGGGTGCTTGGCAGCAAATACTGGGCGCTTGGCAGAAAATGGCATACTGTACGACGAGGACGGTTACCAGTCATAATACACCATCTACTGCCAAAAGGCAAAAGGCAAGGGTCTGCTGCAATGCAGCCCTACGGCTGCCAGCACCCAGATCTCCCTCAGCATCTTCTGGGTGCTTGGCAGCAAATACTGGGCGCTTGGCAGAAAATGGCATACTACGACTGATAGCCATCATCGTCATTGTGAAGGCAGCAGAATATGACTGGGGGATGGGGGACTGGGGGACATACGGAGTTCCAGCCACTGCTGTATGACGACGACGGATACCAGTCATAATAAACCATCTACTGCCAAAAGGCAAAAGGCTGCTGCAATGCAGCCCTACGGCTGCCAGCACCCAGATCGCCGATGAAGGCTACCAATCATGCTGCACCGTCTACCGCCAAAAGGCAGATAGCTGCTGCTGTGTAGCAATGCAGTACCACGTCTGCCGGCACCCAGATGACATATGGTGACGGTGAGCTGAGCTGAGCTGAGCGGGCTCCATGCTTGCCGTGGTACGTTGTCTGCACAGGTAACCCAGGTAAAAAGGCGCGAATCTATTGTCTGCTGTTGCTCTGACGGAGGGGGAGGGGCCTGATGACATGTACCCAGAACCCCCCGCGACACTGTTTTGCATCATTCAGGCATTGGGATCTCAACCCAGAATTCCGATGGGCGGCGGAGACTGCGGGAACTGTGGGATAGCTACCCATAGTACAACGCTCCGGAAGTCAACGCTAGCCTCGGTACTGTGGATGCGGTCCGCCAACTAGAGCACTTAGAGTATTTTATGTGGGGACACACACAATCGGCTGCATACAACTGATTTCTATAAAACCGGCTTCTATAAATTCGACCTAATTTCGTAGTGTAGACATACCCTGAGAAACACCAGGCTAGGCAGATCAGTGTGAGTTTCATGGCATTGCACCATTTTCACACCTACCCCCCCCCCCCGCTGTTATAAGCAGGCTGACCTTAGGGTGAACTTGTATTTTGGCACCGGCACCCCTGGCACCTGCTGCCTCCCTGGGTTCCCCTCTTACCCTCTATTGCCACTGGCCCCGCACTGCCTCCCTGGGCACCCCATCCATCCCCCCATTACATCTGGCCTCCGCTGCCTCCATCACCTCCGTGTCACTGCTGGCCCCCACTGCCTCCCACCTCCGCATCCCCCCTGGACTTGCTGCCTCTCTGGGCTCCCAACCCACCTCTCCATAACCCCTGGCCTTCGCTGCCTCCTCTGGCCTCCATCCAACCCCCCATTGCCCCTGATTCCCACTTCCTCTGTATCCCCCAGGGCCTGCTGCCATGCTGGGCTCCCAACCCACCCCCCATCACACCTGGCCTCCGCTACCTCTCCATCCATCCCACCATCATCCCTGCCTCCTGCTGCCTCCCCAGGCTCCCCACTCCCCCATCACTCCTGAGCCCCACTACCTACCCCCCACTCACAGCATTGATTCCTTCTGTGGCCTTGCACCCAAGGCCTGCCCTTCTCCTTGCCTCTTCACCATGTTATCCACCCCCCACCCTCCCTGACCCCAGTGCACTGGGCAGTGGCCCACATCGCCCTCCTGTAAGGCTGGTCCTGGTTCAGAGTAAAGGTGTATGTCATGGGGAAGAGGAGGAGGGACTGCACTCCAGCTATTCCTGGGAACATGGGCAACTGACGGTAGGTAAGAGCAGTTCTGAGGGAGCTGTTGTCAGTGTCAGAGACTGAATCCAGAATACGAGGAAGTACAAAGATGGCTTTACGTCACCATTTCCTCCCTTCCCACTCACAGAGAGTTCTGGCCAGGACACACTGTGCGCTGGAATGGAGAACTGGGGACTGAGTGTGGATGATTTTGCAAGATTGGTCCTTAGGCTGCTTCAGAGTCAAACTGCTTCCACACACTTCAGAGGGCAGGATGTAAGGATTAATTTGCACTGCCAACCTCCTGAGTGTGTGAGTGAGAGAGGAGAGAGAGAGTGAACCTGTTGAAATTCCCAGGCAGACTTACCCAATACTTTCTTGAGAGATTCTGGAAAAGAAAACAGCTCTTTAAATACCTGCATATCGTTTTATCTTAACTGCATAGTTATAAAATGTAACTGATTTTTATTACGATCCATATGTCCTGAGAAATAAGTTCCAGCCCAATCAACCATTATAACACACTGTCAATTGTTAAACTTACAGCATTTCTTCATTAAATTGTACGATTTTCTGCACTAAAATCCATAGCTTGATATGTCCCTGTGATTCACCAGCAGCTTACAGCTACATTTTTAAAGGTAATAAACTGCCTATCTCCCATTGATTTCAATGTGAGTTAGGTATCTAAATGTCTTTAAAAACTGACCCATAATCCTCTAAACAAAATTCACAGTTATTGATTTTAAAACCCAATGTCGAGCTGTATTCAATGGACTATATTGGATTAAGTCATATGTGGTTCTGTTAATGGGATCAGACTCTAGGCTGTATCAAACCTAAACTGTTACAGAGTTTTATGTGAACAGGATGATGTAAAAATTAAAAAAGACAATCATAACATTCAAAAACCAGTAGGAGAACACTTCAACCTCTCTGGCCACTCAGTAACAGACTTAAAGGTGGCAATTTTGGAACAGAAAAGCTTCAAAAACAGACTCCAACAAGAAACTGCTGAACTTGAATTAATATGCAAATTAGACACCATCAAGTTAGGCTTGAATAGAGACTGGGAATGGCTGAGCCATTGCACACATTGAATCTATTTCCCCATGTTAAGTATTCTCACACCTCTTGTCAAACTGTCTGTAATGGGCTATCTTGATTATCACTACAAACGTTTATTTCTCTTCATTAATTAGCCTCTTAGAGTTGGTAGGACAACTCCCATCTTTTCATGTTCTCTGTATGTGTATATATATATCCTTACTATATGTTCCATTCTATGCATCTGATGAAGTGGGCTGTAGACCACAAAAGCTTATGCTCAAATAAATGTTAGTCTCCAAGGTGCCACAAGTACTCCTGTTCTTTTTGTGGATACAGACTAACACGGCTGCTACTCTGAAACCAATAAATATATGTATATCCTGTTGATCTTCTCTGAGTTAAACTTCTGAAAAATCCATGCAGACTTACTCCTTCCCATCTTGTCAGATCCTGAAAAAAAGAAACACATCTAAGTGTAAGCACATTGCTTTATCCAAACTATGTCATTATAAAATGTAACCTGATTTTGTCAACTAGAAATTGTCCTAAATGATGAGCTAGAGAAGAACAATACTTTGGGGGTTTTTATTAGATAATATTTAAACATTATTGCCATATACTCCTATTATGGAGGCGCACTGGTTCCAAAATAGTTAAGGGTTGAGATAAGCTCACTTTTTTAGAAAGGTGATTTTCCCAAGTGCTCTAGAATACATATATGATGTCGATAGTGCTTCTGTACCTTAACTGTATTTCCTGGTTTTCAGACATTTCAGTATAATTTGCACATGACAATGGTATGGAATGGAATGGTATGAGACACTGTCTGCTGTCACAAACTTTTTGGCAGTGAATAGCATTCTTCCAGCAGTAGGTGTCATAGTGTTTTATAAAAGTGGATAAGAAATTGTTTCCTCATTTTACAGAGGTGTAAACTGAGGCAGAAAGGTGTAAACCTTCTCAGAAAGTCATTTTCAGACCCAAGACTCTTCCTGATTCAGGAAGGTACATGAGCACAATGTCCTCTATGAATACCTCAGTTAGCCCCATCATTGAATCCCAGCCCCCAGCTCTGCAACTAGAATAACCTTGCTGCATTCATCAAGACAACAGTAACAATCAGATTTTCAATCTGGATCACCATACATTGATTTAAATTTAAAGATTCTGAGAAACATTTTCTGCTTATTAACATTCTTCCTGTGAAATAATTTACAACAATTTCAAGAAATTCAATACTAGTTTTTGTAAAAGGAACCAGTAAACAATGATTTTTTTTAATGGATAGGTTAGAACATTGACAGTAATAGACAAAATCCTGCCCCTTTGAAATAAATGGGTGCTTTGCTATTGACTTAAATAGGGCAGAATTTCATCCAAGAAATCACTCCCAGATCATTATTTTGTTTGAATGTAAACACACAGAAATTAATGAAAACAGGTCTTCTATGTAAGAATGCAAAATTATAATATAATATAATATAATATAATATAATATAATATAATATAATATACATCAGCTTGGCTGGTTCAAAGTCAAATCAGTAAGTTGTTTCCAGTGGAAAGGAGAAGGAAAGGAGTTCAAGGAGCCATTTCAATATTTTAATACAACAGACCTGTATTTGGCTGAAATCGGTGAAAAAATTAGTGCAGATTCTGCTATTCTCTCCTCAAGTGTTTCTAAAAGATGGAGAGGAAATGTTTAAATATATAAGCACTGTGTTAAAAAGCAGTGTGCAATCATACAAAGTAATGTAAAATAAAAATGTTAAACTATCAGATACATAAATGCAGCAAAATCCCAATATTCTGAAGTGCTCAGAAACCACTCCAAACCTTAAATCTGGAAATTCATAAAATCAGGGGAAATTGTAACAACATGCAAATACTGGAGATACAGAGATGTGTCAGATTAAACACAGTCTGTAAAATACAAAAGTTACCCAGGAAGGTTTTATACACAACTGTTCCTCTAACTCCAGGACCCTATTCAACATATACATGAAGCTGCTAGGACAGGAGCCCAGATCTTCAAAAGTTACTTACACATGTACCTCCCATTGACGTGAATGGAAATAGATGCCTAAATACATTTGGGGATCTGAGCCAATGTGCAGGGCCGGTGCAAGGAAGTTTTGCGCCCTAGGCGAAACTTCCACCTTGCGCCCTCCCCCCAAAGCCCTGCAGCAGCTCCCCACCCCTCTCCACCCTGAGGCCCCCCCCCCCGTGGCAGCTACCCGCCCCCCCCGGCCCGGGGAGCCGTGCGGCAGCTCCCCACCCCAGTTCACCTCTGCTCCGCCTCCTCCCCGAGCACGCCGCCCCCGCTCTAATTCTCTTCCCCTCCCAAGCTTGCGGTGCCAAACAGCTGATTGGTGCCACAAGCCTGGGAGGCGGGAGTAGTGGTGCAGCGACGGCGTGCTCGGGGAGGGGACGTAGCAGAGGTGAGCTGGGGCGGGGAGCTGCCGCACGGCTCCCCGGGCTGGGGGGGTGGGAGTTGCTGCGGGGGGGAAATTGGGGCACCGCTTTTTGGCACCCCCAAATCTTGGCACCCTAGGCAA